GATTATCATTCTCCAATCAACATAAACCGAACAAATTTATCAACTTATTTAAATTATCTATGAATTATTGTGGTACTGTTCGGTTCGAAAATATGAGATACCTTGTCCATCACGGGAAGCGAGGCCTCGCATTCTACGTGTGAACTTAGATTGGATAGTGACTTTTTATTGATATGTAGACCTTTCTTGAACGAGTCCGCTTTTCTCTAGTTCATCCAAGAAATGTTATTTTGGAGCACATTCGATTTTTTTTGGTCAAAACAATAACTTTATTAATTAAGTTGAAACTTTCGACAAATCAAAAACAAAAAGAACTCGTTTTACTAACGCAGCGAACATATTGGCTTCTCGTAAAACAAAAAAAAAAATTAACTTTCTAAAGTGGAAGGCTAACAAAGTGAACATTCAATATTGTTTCTACATATTCTTCCCTTAAGTCCTCTGTTTCATTACGAAACTACCATCCTAAGCCACCATATGAATGCTCTTTAACCCAAGCAGCATTGGTAAAACAGATCGTGCTTGTAGCAAATGTAGTAACATCTAGGTTTGGAGCCTCCGAGTACATTCAAAAATTTAAATTACCAAAATAACATGATAATAAAAATCATGCGTCTATTTTCAAAAAAAAAAATTCCCTGTTGCGTGGTCATTTTAAAATGTATTTGGTTTCTAAGATGCACTCAAATACTTAATAGTTAATACTACGTCATATTGTATATTGTTTTTTTTTTACATAAATAGTTCTATTGCATTATTGTCACGTGAAATTTTAAAGTGTATCGGTGCAACTCATAAAGAAAGCTGTCTCCCCAAACTTGGAGTATATCGAAGCGTTGGATCAATTCCCATTTTTTCCTCTTCTAAATTAAATTAATTTTATATATTAACTATACGAATTTTAGATCGAACCGTTCGTTCATGTCTTTTCAATTTTCATAATTGTCTATGCGATGCATCATCACATCCTCATGGACCCTCTGATTTATAGCTAGTGTTCCATATCACAACATTCTTTTTATGTTTTTATTTAATCATTTTCTTCATTCTTTTTTTTTGGGGTCAATTAGGTCCCATGCATGCTATCATTATTGACAAAATAATACGGTTTATAGGTTTGAAAATATGATAAAGAAAGTATGATCCGGCGATATATGATAAATCGATAATAATGCGCTTACCGAATTGCACTAGGAATCCGTTCATAAATTGATAGTCTTAGTTTGTACCAACAATAAATTTAGATGATTTGAGTATTATTGCATTGGATACGTTATATATATATATTTTTTGGATAAATGGATACGTTATATTTGAATGAATTAATTTACGTGAATCTAATTTCTTGTTCAATAATATGTTTCATGAGAGATAGGTGATGTTTATAAATCAACCACTAATATTATCAAAGATCGGTCCCCAACTTATAGAGAATTAAAACCCGAAAGTTCTGGACGTAAAAACAAAACGTAGCTACAACATATACTCATTATTTCTAATAAAACAAATACACACATTTGGTACCGAGTAAGAAAAGTGTTAAGACACATATAAAATAGATGTAGACGCATGATATATGGGCATAACTTTATTATAGAACAAAATATACATATAACTAATTTAAGTAATTAGCATACATTGGGTTGAGACATGGAATGGAATATATAACTATCTTTTTAATTTGATTTCTGCAGGTATGAGTTGGTCTTCCACTTTCCTTGATTTATAAGACAAAAGCAGTCTCGTGTTTACTGACTAAATGACCCCTTTGTTTTGCAATTTTTAAATGTGAACAAAATTTACTTTTGTTTGTTAAAGTCGTAAGTCTATCTAATTACGCATGTTCATCAATTATTTTTCTTTGTCACCAGGTTGTACTTGTACATATAATATCTCTTCTACACGTAGTTATCAGTTTTTCCAATAGCGATTGCATTACAAGATAAATATCTCAGACGATGAAAATAAACAAAACAAGCTAACAAAATTATTCGAGCAACTTGTTAATATACTTTAAACTAAAAGGTAAATATATGTACAGTATGCTTATACTTTTCAAACTATTATTAGATTGGAAAAGGCATGGAATGAGCGTGTAGACATATATAGGTATGTGGCTGGCTAATGCACTATGTGGAAGTCACGAGTTTCTTACAATAATTATTCCTTTTCTTTCAAATTGAATTAACATCTCATGAAAAGGACTAAAAGAGCATATACTCAGTGGTTTTCGCTAAAGGAATTCGGAAAATATAGTTTTATCATCATATTTTTAGCATTTATTCTCATACAATATATAAAAATAATATTTAGATTTATCCCTATATTATATAAAAAGTTATAGAAAACAATTGACCTACCTTACCGAAAGGTTACAAATAATATACTATATTATTCTAAATATATTAAAATTTTACGGTAAATCGTAAATTCATTCATAATAACAGTTCGGTATATTAGATGTGGTACGATCCGAATAAGTAACAAACAATATAAAACTCAAATATTAAGTGCAGTTTGGTCTAAATGGTGACTGTACAAAATAGATGCGGTGCGGTT